CGTCTCGCCTCGATCGGGGCGCGATTATGCAACGTGTTCCATTTTCAGCTGGTGTGGGTCACTTTCACACTGCAGTGTGAACAACCTGTTACCCTCCTCGCCTGTGGGGGCGATGCACCAAGAACCACTACAGGAAGTGACACGTAAACCTCTGCAGAAGACACAGAGCACAACTTCCTTCTTCACAAAATGTAGAAGTAAAGATTTTTCTTTTTCAGTTCACGCCTTTGTTGAGCTATTTCTGCCGTGATCGTGACACTTGCACATTTGTTGCAGCATCCAAAATAAATGAACAAAATAACTAATAAAATGAAGTCTTTGCAGACAAAATTGTCCTTAAAAAAGAGCTAGTTGTAGACCAAAGTACCTAACTGAAGACTTTTATAATCCAGTTTTTGCTGGAAAGAGACAAAAACCTAGATAAATCACGCCAATGGAAATTGTTGACTTTTAATTTATATTGCAATTAATTGATTTATTGATTATTGTGACAACCCAGACCTAGGTGTGGTTGTATTCAATCTGAAGGTCCAGCGCTGTAGTCCACGTCCTGATTTTGGAGTGGTCTCTGGTCTTTAAACTTCTTCAAAGAGAGAAACTGTACACGATCAAAAAGTATGAAAACTCTGTTTGCAAATCTGTGTTTTCGTCAAACTCTGAGCAGCTGTTATTCACGGGGATTAGCAGGTCTTACAAAGGTTACATCAAATAATGAGGGTATAATCCCTCCCATTGGGCCTAATTTATCTGCTTGTCTCGCTTGATGTGCCAATACATCTGTCACTCATCTATTCACTAAAGATCTGTGGCTGGCATCCGCTGGCTGCAGGGAGGATTGGAGAAAAAAAAATCTTCCTGGTGATGTGTTTGCCTTGGAAAAGATGGGAGGGGACGACAGGAGGGGTTATTGATCTTGTTTCGTCTTCAGGATGCCGAAGGTTTTAATGAGGCAGACAGTGGAAACTTTTTACAGGCTTATTTTTTGATGGGATCAGATCGCAGAGGCTCATGCTGCCTGGAGCGCTAAGTTGTGCACAAGTTAGGTTGTGCAGAGCTTCCTGCACAAGGGAAATGTGCTGCACTTCAGTCAGTTTGAGTCAGATGTCTTCATATTCTTCATATTGGACCGTTCCCAGGAACGGTAATAATTTAACACCTACTTTTTTGTAAGTTCTTGAACTCAGTGCAACATTTGCAGAGCTGGTTGGACTCTCTGGTATAGTACTTAATTGGTTTAAATTTTACCTAAAAAAAAAAAAAAAAGAAAAAAGGTTATTTTTGAGGGCAGATAGGTAAATACTTAAAATGTCAAGTGCAGTAAAACAACTGAGACCTTTGGAGAATTATTATTTGGAAAAGGTACAATTCCTACAGCCTCCCACCTGAAGATAACACCAGTTTCCCAACAACTGATGACCTCAAGGAGAAAAAATACACTCATCGTATCAGTCTGTGATTTCTTCTTCACAGATCGTTTGGTTTTTTACGAGCGCATTCCAGATTTAACGGATCCATCTTTATGGGTCTTATGTTTTGCAGTCCAGTCTTTAAGAGAAGACTGGAATTGTAATCAACACACCGCACACATGGACCGTCAGCGGACATCATTTGAAACCAAACAGATGAAACTGAAAAGCCAACTGCTCCTGCTGAGGGACGGAGGCAAATAATCATTAAACTAATAATTCTGGCTCATAAAAGGACGTCAAAAAATCTTTTTCCATGAGGCATCAAGATAATGAGTGGCTTTTATGTGTTGATAGCAGTCAGCCATCGTGTTTCTGCCAGTGTATAATTAACACTGTGATTTGTGGCGCATCAGCCCACCGCTGTAAGAAGACTCTGCGGTCTGGGATCAGCTCCACGGTTCTGGAATCTAAACCGGAGATAAAGAACCGACAAAAAGGGGCATTTCAGGCAGGAAGCGGTTCTCCTGCCGTCTTGCTCCGGCTTGTCCGACGGAGGTTGTCTGCCTGAGCGTGACGCATGTTTATGGAATTTGATTAATTAAAAGGTTGGAGCTGGTAGCTCAATCTTCACAATTATAAGAGCAGCTGAAAAAAGGAAGAGGGCTCTGCAGGGTCGACCCAAGGCATAAGGAAACTAAACCGGGTGCTTTGGGCCCCGGGGCCACTAAAGGGACCCCTAAATGGAACAAATTTTTATTTTTCCTATGTGATTATTTTTTTTAAATTACACAATTTCATTATAATTATATTTTCACTCCAATCTTCATAATTAAACAAAGATAATTAGCATTTGGAAGCAAACTTCCCACCAGCTAGCAACACGTTAGCTGCCTTAGGCCATTCGTGACCCACATTTCATTTCCATCGGTTCTTGTCCTGTGGTGTCGTCTAACTCAGACTAGGACATCACCGGCTTGAATTTACCAAAACTATCAAGGCCGTCTCTACTTTTAATTCAATATTATGCCAGTAAAAATGGCGAATTTGAACAGCGTCGGTTGTCTTCTCTCGCTCCATGGCTTTTCTTCTTGTTATGGCGCGTTTCAAACAAACTGACAGTGCAATACCGCCACCATCGGTCCGGAGTGTGAACTGGGCCTGCTGCAGTTCACTAACGGATCTTACGTCATACATCTGAAAATGGATCGGGTGAAGACAGCTTCCGTGTTTTAGTTAAAAAACTGAAAACAATGGTTCATATTCCGAGAGATGTAAAACTGAAGACACTTGCTACATTTTTTGTTTAGGACAAGTATTGTTTTTGTTGTAGAACCGCTGTCACTACACCGTCAATGTTTGACATTTTGACGTAATGACACATTATTTAAACAACATTCCATAAGGACAGTCATTTTCTTTATTCTTTGACATTCTAACAAAAATAGTAAAAAACCTAAAATGACATACTTTATTAGCCTAAAGAATACACTGAGATGTAATTTAAAACATACTGAAATTAATCATTTAAAGTAAGCGTTATATGAATTTTAAGAAAATTCTATTTCAAGCACATATTTTAAAACATGTTCAAAGATATCTTAAATATCTTTAAAACACATATTTTAAAGATATTTAAAATATCTTTTAAATATACACTTGCGGAAGTATATATTTACACTTCAGCAAATACATATTTTGTTCACTTAAAATCTACTTCTATTCAATATATTTCTTAAAAGTGTATTTTTGGTACAATTCTATTTAAGGATGTTTAAAGTCATGTCAAAATTGGTGCAAGAATGCTTTTAGTACACTAAAAGGTAGTAAAATACCTAGGTAGTAAACTTAATACTTAGTATACTTAAAATGTACTTAATACTTAGTATACTTAAAATGTACTTCCACAAATGTTAAGTATATGTGAATTAAACAAAAGCAAATGAATAAATAAATAAAATTCCAAATTTCACAGGATGCAATGAAACAGGGTGGAATAAAAATATAAATATATTTCACTGTCTGAACTTGCTTTGCGGGATGTTGAAATGGCTCGACGCGCTTCAAAACTGTAATGGTTGATCCCAGCGACATCAAATTACAAATCGTTTACTCTGAGACTGTCATGACGATGTTTCAGCTGCCATACAACAGGAAGTGACCCCTGTGGGGTCGTTTCCTGGCAGGGTCTCCACCCAGTGCTTAAACAACCTGTTGACACACTAGTCTTAAATCTCCTGCACAATTGAGATGCAGCAAAAATATATTTAAAAGACTAATATCTTTCACTGCTAATTTAACCACTTAAGCACACACTTCAAGGTACTTCTTTAAGAATGGTCAATAAGTGTACACAAAAGCAGTGTTTACACTAACCCTGACCCTAACCCTAATCCGCTTTGAACTTTACAAGATAACTATCATGTGATATGTGTTGAAAGCTTAGAAATGATTCCTCCTGATCTTCTGTTGTACTTCACAAAAGTTGTCTGAATTTCCTATGATAATATAAATAGGGGAAAGGGACGCAGAAGGATTTTAACCCAATTTGGGGGAGTGGGAGGAAAAAAACAAACATTTGACATGACAGAAAAGCTGAATAGAGTAACCCTCCACCTATATTAACACTGTGATTTGTCATTGTAGCTCTTCCAACTCCACCGAGATGACATTCCGCGCTGAACGCTGTGTGATGAATTGTAAAAAATGGCATGGCGTGTGTTGTGTCAGCGTGACAGATGAGTCCCTCCCGTTAATGCAGAAGAATCACTAAACCCCTAACGCAGCGTGATCTCACAGGGAAACATTTCCGCACGGCGGAATTTATGTGGAACCCGCTGGGACGTTTGATGAGAAACAGAAATATTAACGGTGCAGTTTTGCTTTTTCTGATAGTTGAAATCTCCTTGCATTACAAATCTCATTGATTTTTCCCTCACTGACAGCAAAGTCGTGCTTCTCTGAAATGATTTGGCGCCGCCTAAAGGTTAAAAGTCTCAGCACAGTTCATGTTAACTTTTTAGGTAATGATAACCATAAAAAATTAAATAAATGCATTAGGCTGAGGGGTATTATTAGTCAAGCTAGCTTTATTCACACAGTGCATGTCTGAAGTTAAATCCCAGTCCATCCCGTCTCCCATCATCCTTTGCGCTTTGACCCATCAACAGGACTAAGGGAAACTTTTGATCAAAAGGGAGTAAAAGCTGAAAATCAGTGGATTTATAAACTAACACTTCAATTGCTCATTGTTCATCAAATATACAAATAAATAACTCTTAATTTCAAAAGTTCTGCCAGCACATATTATAATGTACGGTTAATATAAGCCAGCGTTTACTCCTCAAGCCTTTTTTATGTTTATATTTTTTTGCAAGAAAAAAAAGACATTCTTGTGTGATTTATTGTTCATAGTATTTGGAAGCATTATCCAGTAAAATATTATTGCATTATCCAGTAAAATATTATTGCACTAAAAGTTCAACTTAAATACATTCTTGATTAATGTGCTTTTTAACGTCTGCTTCAACTTAACAGCTTTTTACCAAGCTTTTTACTTATTTTGCAAGAGTAAAGGAAGTAGATGATCAAAAATGTAACCACATTAATGTTTATTTGTACATGAGGGCGTATTTGCTTATCGAGAATCCAACATAACAAGTGGTTAAACTCACGAATGGGCACATAAAGTCACGTTTGTGTAAGAAATAAAATAAATTGAAAAAAAACTGTTTAAGAATCAACTATTTAAGAAATAAAAATGACTAGAAAAGTAGGAAATGACCCGCACCGTCCTGAGCTTTCTCTCGCTGTGTTCGGCACTAAACAGGGTAAAAAGCTCAACTGAACGTCGACTTTATTTATACAGCACATTTAAAAACAACAGCAGCGGATAAAAGTGCGTCACAATAACACCAACAATCATAAAATAGTAAATGAAACTTTAAAATTACACATAAAGCTGATTCTCACTGTCTAAGCGGTGTGCGGCTCTGGTCATTCAACGACAATTAAGGATAAAATTAAATGGAAAAACCTTCATAGTTTGCCAAACGTACTTAGAATCACATGATTTGAGCCTCTCATCAGGTGAGGAACCGAATCAGAACTGACTTAAAGCTTACTCTCCTCGGTATACTATGATGTTCTTATCCGTCTCGTGAATCCGGATCTCAAAGAGCAGGCTGGCGGGAAGAGCCTTCACCATGTTGTCCCAGATGTAAACGGCCAGGTTTTCCGTGGTGCTGGTGAATGAGAGGAGAAACATCTGGTGAAACGTGCGAATATCTGCAGTCAAGAGAGACGATCTCGGAAGGTTACAGACCTCACAACGCTGGCAAAGTACGGAACGTCCTTATCCAGGTTTTTGTGGTCCAGAGGAATCATGATGACTTCCTGTTGGATGAACAGTCAGCCAGATGTCCGTACAACAGCAAAAACACAATAAAAAATTTAGAACCAGAGAAAGGTTTACAGGGAACAAGGATAAGATTTAAGAGCTGAATGGAAGTTCCTTGTTTGACGGTCCAAAGTTGTGGTAACAGTGTCCTTACCTCAATACACTTCTTCAGGTCGGTCAGATTCATGACCATGCCAGTGACGGGATCAATCTGTGAACACGTGTCACATATCACGTTTTTAGCTAAGGGGTTGTGATTGCACGTTTGTTCCTTCAGTGGAAATACGACCTTTTGTCAAAAGCATTTGTGCGATACTCACTTTTCCACGTACAGTCACCTCCACTGTGGAGTGAAATGAGAGCGCTCAGGTGAATCGGTAGAAACAAATACTATGCTTTATTTGAGGCTATATTTGGTTTATGTAGCAGCAGGACAAACCCTTGTAGTTGTGTCCATGACCGTAGGGATTGTTGCACTTTCCGTAGACTTCTTTATTCTCCTCGTCACTCAGGTGAAGACTAGAAGAGGTTGTGGAGAATATATAAATTAAAACTCCTGGAGTCAGATTTTTGTTGTTGTTGTTGCTTTTCCAGTTTTTATGGGAAGGGGTTAAAGATTGTGTACCCTATTAGTGCAGCTCAAACAAGTAAAAATGTGGCAAGGGGTTATTGACGTATGTTGCATTTAAGAACATTCAGTATATTACAACTCAATAGATTTATACTTGATTTAGAACCATGCTTCATAAAAAAATGGAGCCAATTTAAAAAGGTTAAAGGTGATCATTTAAGTCAAATAATACAAATGAAATCAATAATAGTATTTTTACATGACTAATAATAGTTATTTTGAACAAAATCAATTTTTGAAAAGAAATTGGAATGATACAATTGATGAAGATGTATTTATATGCCTAATACATGTAAAAGATAAATTATTTTAATACTATAAATATAAAATTAAACTGTTGCGAACAATAACAAAAATTAATATAAAATGTCTATTAAAAATAGCTAGCAAAACAATATTAACATATTTGCTTTTGTTTAATGGCAAAGGGTTTCTGTAATAATTTCCTGAAGAGGGTTTATGTTTTACGACGCTATTGACTGCACCTAAACGCATCATTAAAGCTTGGCATGTTTATCCGGAAAGACTTGTTCCTACCTGCGTTTTCTCTAAAGTAGTGAAAGCATAAACTCCTCCATAGTTTTTTTTCCCCTATTTTATATAAACTTCGCATTTTGAAACACTCCGACTTGTGCGGTCGCAGCCAAAGCATCGCGAGTTTCTGTGTAATTACACGGGATTTCCCGCATGTTCTATCGCCTCTCGGTTTAACCCGCGGTCTCGTTTCATCCAAATCCCTTCTATTCTGTGACTTTAACCGCCATTACGTGTCCACTGTGGGCTCCTCCTCCGCCCTGTTCCCTCAGACACCGCGGCAGCGGCTCGGGTACCTGTGGAGCCGGTGGCAGGCGCTGAAACTCTGGACTCGGGTGATGTATCCGACGCGCTCCGCTTTCTTGTCGCTCCCGGAGGATTCCGCCATGTTTGGCAGGAGGTGGAGGATGGAGAACAACCGCTGAAGCCGAGCAGAGAGGAGTTGCAGCCGGCCGCCCCCGCCCTGACTCAGGCGGCCCGTGATTGGCTCGTTTCAGGGCGTAAACACGACTCACATGGCCGCGCGAGCGTCAAACCTGGAGCCGAACGTGACCGAAGCGCGGCGAACCGCATAAGGGTTGTAACCGAGCAGTAAAGGAATCGTTGTTCCAAATTTTTCCTCCGTGGTTTTTCTGCAGAGGAAACATTTTCCACCACATGAAAGAAAAACAAGCCGATACACTGTTTTCTGATTATGAGGGTCAAAACATAATTAAGTCTTTCAGTGTCATGACCATAATAATTTAATTTTGAAAATTACTTTGACCTTATCACCATAATAACTATTTTCTAAATGTGACATTAGAGAAATATTTTTGTTGACAACTACATGTGTTATAGTAAATTATAAATCAGAAACTTTTGAACTGAGAAATTCACAATCATGGTTTTATATTTCACAATCCTGACTTCACAGCTGATGTTTATTCCCTCTCATGTCACCTTTGACTTTGAATCGCATCATTTTGCCATTGCATCGCAGACACAGTGCCGTGGAAATGTTACATGCTCCACTCCACGTCTTCTTTGTGGATTTGCTGCACCTCATCTGTGGCATAATTGTGAAGTGATATGAAAATGATGGGAGTTACGATTATTAGTTTTGCACATTGTGTGATATTTTAGCCTGGTCTTCTCTGTCACGTTAAATGGGCGAACCCAAAACAAACAAGCTAACAAAACACCCTAGGTTTATTCAAAACGCAGCCCGTTGGCCGTTTGTGTCGTCGTTATGCCCCATGTTTAATAGTTGACGACGTTTTGTTCGAGAAGGTCACGAAGCCCAGAGAGGAACCCGCTCCGGTCACCAACCTCTGCTCACAACAAACCTTTCCTGCTGGCTGGCTTTTTAGCCCCGTGTGCCAGAAAGCCCGTTCCTAACAACATTTCCACACTGGTTACACGCTTTAAGTCCACATGTTGGCTCTTAAAGGTCTACAGTCGTCACATGAGAGTCACCAGATGGTTCCTGCTCAGATTTAGAATTACTCCTTTCATTCATGCATTTTTTTTTACCCTTTTCATCCTTGTCCAAAACTCTCACCATATTATTGTATCTTATTAGATTAAACGAGGATCCCAAAAACATCTGTATTTCTTTTTTAAAACCCTTCCAACTGTAATTTACCAGAGTGCTGTAAGACACTAACAGGACTGTTCTTTGATATATAAGTGTTAGGGGCTTTAGTTTATGTTGTTCTAATAGCAGAAACAAAAGGAATGTTTTTTTTTATTTTTTTTTTATATGTCAACTAATCTTGTTCGTATTTCATTGTGACAACCACACTGTCTTTTTGCCCTGGCAAACGTTGAGATGTGAGAAATGATGTAGCAGCTTAGAAATAAACGTCCCTTCAGTTTTAAATATGATGCAAAATATTTCAAATGCGATAAAAGAACCGGTGCGTTCCGATTGAAATTCTGAGAGGCACTGAAAATGTCTGGGATTAGTGACTTCATGGTGCCGCCTTCGGGCTTTTTTATTCCAAAAACGTAAAAAATTCAAATTAAGAAATCTTTTGATATGTTAGAAATAAGAATGTTTTTGAAATTTTAAAATATACATCACCATGAAACAGCATATAAAAGAGATCTTTAAAAAAAAATAAGCAAAAAACAGAAAGCAGAAGTTTACTCATCCGGCCTCTAGATGGTGATAGAGGACCTTGAGATGTCCTGAAACTGGTAAACAGACCTGGGCGATGCACAGGAGGAAAAATGGGTGAGCTGCAACACAAATGACAGTAAGAATAATAGTTGATTTGCGTTTGCATGGCTCCCAGCAACTTCTATTAAATATAAGAGCCTCACCTAAGCCCAAGGGGAGGCTGTGTGTGGGCAACACGGACACACACAGTTTTTGTCAATTCTTTGCAGTTCCCTACAATTCCCCCCAAAAAAACTAAGAAACAGAAGGAAAGCAAAACGCAGTGATTCATGACAATTCACCTGTTTTTATTTGTGCACGTACATCACAGGGTGTTCATATGCACAAACATTTCATCGTTCAGTATGTACAGTAACCACTGAAGCATCGCCTGAATACAAAGCAAGTTAAAGCCTGCTACATATACTTTAGACCCCAGTATTATTCACATTTAAAAGACAAATACATTGTATTTATATGCACACTGCAATCCAGATGACGTGACATTTGGATGTATTTCACTGGCCTGCCATATCACAGTTTACACAATAAATCACCAAAATCGGTATAAAAAGAGATTAATACTGCTATAACGTTTGTGAGAGACAGGAAAGTTTGTTGCGTAAGCTTACAACCATCGACATTAACATTATATTTGGCTAATTATATGAAATTGCACTTTGAAGATGTTTCTTTTTTGCCAACAAAAACATGACAGAAGTATTTTTATTTTTTGCTTAAATATTCAAAAAATAGCAACAGATAAAACCCCAAAAATTTAAATACAGCATCATATAATGTGTTTTGTGACACCTTCAGATTAGATTAAGTGTAAGAAAACACCAGGACGACAAGCGAACCAAACAGAGTAATTTTCTTACCCTTATCAAAATGACATGTCGACTTATCTTGTTCAAATTGTGTCAATAAGTCCACAAGCTAGTAAGATGTATACCACCTCCTTTTTAAGCAGATTTTAGCTACTTGAATTATATCAAAATAAAAATATTTATAACACTAGAATACATTTCATTTCCCTATGCGCTCACAAGGGATTAAAGAGAAATGATCTTAAAGTAACCTTCATTAATGAACTTTGAGCTAACCCTTTATAGTTCCTGTGGAACTTACGAGAATTGTAACCATATTCATAAATGATAGGACGTTTTAAAAAAGGTAAACTTTTTGAAATTTAAGGAATAACTCTTAAAATTCTGGTATTTTCTTAAGATCTTCATCGTGCTAAATGTATCGACCACATCCTGTTCTTCCATAATTTCCTCCAAAAAGGGCAAAAATAAGGTCTTCTTTCAGTAAACTGTCCTGCACACTACCCCATGTTTCACAATGAGCAAACACACCCACACATTGGCACAAGAAAATAATTGTTAAAAAAAAAAGAAAAAGTCAGGAAGCATCAACTTATTACAGAGGTGCTTCTAGTAAGTTTTCATTTCCTGCATTAAAAATAACCGACCCTACGGTGGTTTGGAGATTATAAAGAAAAGCACTTTCATTTTGCATCGGTTCGCTATTACAGTCACAATTTGAAGGAATGTCTAGAGTCCATTTTATCACAAGAACGCACAGATTACATTCACGGAGCATTCTGCATTAAAATTATATGGAGGCAGAATAGTTTGGCTTGTGGTTGTGAGAAACCTCTATGTTTTTTCACACAGACATAAAAGTACCAAAGAAAGCAGCAATGTTCCAAAGTACACAAGGCTGTGAAATACTTTCGCACATAAGAGATAACGTAAGTTATAATGTGGAAAGAAATAATTCACAAGAAAATGTGAATTATCTTCACATTAACAAAAATTGAGGGGAAAAAAAAGGGTAAATTACAAGTCTTTCTATTCACAGAAGATGGTGACCGCAGTAGTTGGAGAGTTTGCAGCGACAGGCTTTGGGTGGATCACTAGAAGGAGCCAGTGAACGCCACGTTTTTCACAGATAGGCTGTCTTCCATATTACCATGAAGTTATGCCATAAGTTCCAAGTTCTGCTTTCATTTCCTCCACTCCTTGGGTTGAAATCAGTATTTTTGCAGAAAACAACAAGGATTCAAAAGCACTTTTCACGAGCCAAGGCTGAGATGCTTTTCATGCTGTGTTTGTGTGACCTTGGAAAAGACCATGGCAGCACTGGAGATCTGCCGCTCCTTAAAGCCGATAACAGAGGTAGTCGGAGAGCCGAGTTTGCGGTAAAAATGCGATGGAGGTTGGGGTTTGGAGCAGCTTTCCATCATAACCAGTGATGCAGATGTCTGTTGCTGGTTTGGCAATTCCAGCTACTTTAAGGTAAGTGTCAGAGTAGGTGATTGGCTCGAATGGCTTGTGAGTAAAAGTCTTTGTGGCTGGATACCATGACCATTTTGTACATAAGATTAAAGTCAGGGTTAGAGTCTTTGTCGCAACCTCCAGAGAGATATAGGCAACTAAATCCGTGCCACATAAACCGGAACTTCTTTTTATTTTTGTACAGGTAATACAAGTCTCAGTAGAACAAACTGCATTTCTAAAACCGTTTTCCCATCCCCTGAAGCTGGCTCATTCTACTTGGAGAATACATTCATTCTCTGAACCCCAATTTGGTTGGACTTTACCAACTGAGTTCAGAACTGGCTCTCTTCCAAAATCTCCTCCATTGTCTCCCCCAGCGTCATCTCACCATCGCTACTGGAAAGACTCTTCCGGGTAAGAAAGTCGAGCCCTGCCGAGTCGTAGCCCTCAAGTCCCTGGTCTTTAAGTGGCCCTAGTCCAAGAGGCCTACTTCCCCCTTGCACAGCCACCTGGAGGAGGTGTGGGCGAGCCGTCGAAGCGGCGCCTTCACCGTAGGAGTCAAACTGCCGAGAGCGTTTCCTGTGCTGCCGTCGAGTGCACTTCCAGAGGTGCTTGAGATTTGCTCCTCGAAAACAGGTCCGGACCTTGAAATGGTTTGTGAACAAAAACAGTTGCCAGCGCTTTTTCAGCTCAGTTTGGACCTACAAGAAAACAGCATTGCATGTGAACTGTCAGTACAATACAGTACACCGTGGTATTCGCCGCAAGTTCGAGTCTTTTTCTGTATCTTGCTACTTAAGTAGCGAGATTTCTCAGTAATAAGTTTGATTACGGTTTTGTAGCTGTGTGCTTACACAAATGACATTTTTCCATAGAGACTAGCCCTCCCTCTCACATTAGCAGTAAGTTACAAGCTTTCACAGCCTAACTCAAAGTTTTTAGAGCTCTAACAAGACATTTTAAATGTCCGGGAGAATTATGACGCATATGGCTTCCCATATATCTACCCCTTGCACTCCACTGAAACCACTGATCACAATCCAGAACCGTTTTCAGACTGTTGATTACAAACTGGTTGGTTCTGAGCTCATGTCTGTCATTATTATTATTAGCTTTAGTGTGGGAACCTTACCAACTATCATGGAGACACCAAAGTGAAACAAAATGTGGTCTTCTAATTTATTTTTAAATATTTGTTTATTACTGATATTTTCTCCATATAATCGTGTCCACCAAACTGTGATGGCATAGATTTATAAATGTACTATTACACTAACTATTCCTTCCTCATATAGAACAAAACTGTTGACCAAAACCATACCTCTCCATTAGCAAAACAGTACAGCACAGCAACCAAGAATCCCTGAAAAAACACATGGAACAAATTTTAGAGCGTGATGATGTTGGTGAACAAACTCAAAATGAACACCCTGTGTACAAATATTATTGTTTTTGTACTACCTGGAAGGAACTGAGGGTGAGGTTAATGAAGTTCCGGGCATAGCGGCTGCTGCCCTCCATGCATTCATCTATCAGCACTGTGAAGACCACTTCATGGATTCCCAGCAGGGGAATCAGCACCAACGTCGCTCTGGCCAAACTGCAGGGTGCAAACAGATCGAATCAGATTTATTATAATTTTGCTAGGTAGAAAATACTGCAGTAGGAAAAGGAAAGAAGTTTCTGAAGAATGTACACTGGTTTTGTTCCTTTGGTGACATTTACGCCCACAATTTATGGGTGTGACATTTAAATTCGCGATGTGGGATTAACATTTCACCAACATATTTAAATCAGGAGCCTACTCATGTTGGAGCTAAATGTCAACGTCAAACTTGTTGTCCGAGAGTTTGCTTCAGCGGCTCGAGTACCTGTATCTGTAGTCGGTGAATTTCACCTGATCTGCTTTCAGCTTCGACAACAACAGCATCAGAATTTTGATGAATATGAAGAAAATGACCTGCAAAAACATATTAAAGGAACATTTTAACGCATCGCATTGGACTAGAGTCAAGATGACCAATGACATCAAACATAACAGGTAAGACGCCTTTATTAGCAATGAAATAGTAAATATCAAATATGCTGGTGACTACATCTTCATTACCACATTGTCACATGACTCTACTTTATAGCAACCATCCAGATTGAGGAATGCATTGTTTGATCAAACAGAAATCTAGTTGATGTCAGTTTCTGAAGTCAACTTGACCACAGAGTGGCCTGAGGAACATCCCTTACCAGCACTGATAGAGTAATCGGACCTCTTATTATCCACCAGAACCACCTGTTCATGATTGACCAGCACCTTGAGAGTGAAAGAAGCGCTGAGTGTGAACGGAGAGCATGTTAATTGGTTCAAGGAGAAACTTGGACTCAACGCGTTCCATCACTCACCCCGTATTCTCATACAGAATCTTAACCACGGTCCACGGCGTCACGAACAGGACGGGAGTCCCTGGAACATGACAGAAGCAAGACATGCTGTTTTTCCAGGCTAACAGGGTGTAAATTCGGAAAGGCTCTTTGGGTATTCAACCAATGGACCTTCCAACAACGCACAATTTATCGCCATTTAAGGAGCCCAATGACACCAATTGTACATAGCACAACTATAGACAAACATTTTTAAAGCCTCGCTTCTGCGAGGCTTTAAAACGACTTACCCCATCCTAGCAGGATGTATTTCTTCAACAGGCACCTCTTGGTCAGCACCGCAGTGAAGAGCAGCGTGTGAAGGAAAATGGCCTCCACCAAGAGCCAGAAGTAGTTACACGCCACAAAGTACTCCATGCACACTTTGGAGAACTTGCACAGGAGCACAATCTGTTGTGGGAGAAGATCAAGCTGAAGCAGTACGCTCTGGACGAATGAGGCAAAAGTTGTAGAAGCTAAACCTGATTATAGGGGAAAAACAAGGCAGCGCTGAGAGTACCGCAGAGCTGGAGTAGGAATTCCAGCCGGGGTCATTCGTGGGCAGGTTGGAGTACATGAGATGGAAGATGATTTCCTTCGAAATGACGGAGGCCGCCCGCAGGATGAATGACACAAACAGGTTCATGTGGATGTAGTTTCTGGTGCAGTGCAGCTTCCTGGTAAGCAGATACGGGAGCATTGATCGGAACCTCCTGCGCAACTTTAACAGCATTAACCAGGGCGCTGGTCGTAAAGTAGGAGGAAATGGAAATAAAGGAGCTACAGGTAAGACTGTCTCATGGTTCGTAACGTTGTTAGTGATGACTGATCTGCTCAATCGTCTTGTTAATCACTCGTTGCCGTAGCTCTCCATACGTTTTGAAGCGAGTGAATGGGCAGCATGGCCCCTCTAAAACAGAGATAAAAATTACAGCTTCCATACATGGACACGCTTCTTTGAACGGCCAAAATCCTTTTCCCTTTAAAATGACTGTGGTGGGACAGACTGCTGGTGTTTCTATAACCTCTAACCGAGTGTTTGATTAAGTCCGCTGTCTTCCAAACCTTCAAAGTTGAGCTAAAGTACCGACTTGTCCAATGAAAATGTTAACTTTATCTTAATGGCTACCAGAGCCACCCTCCAACAGCTACTGACCTCAGCATGCCCATGAGGAGAGTGGCCAGAGTGAGGGAGAGCAGCGAAAGGGAATAGCCAATAACAGAGATGAGCCGGAGGGCGGAATGGCGCAGCAATTCGTCCTCCTAGAGGCAAAACACAAGAGACTCAACTTTCTAACAATAATCTAATTGTCATGAGATGGGATTATAGAGTCTTTTGTTAAGACAAAGTGAAATTTGAAGGAGTAAAGGTTCTTAAAGACAAATCCCACTACCTTGTCTTTAAAGTATTGGTCCTCCTTACATTCAGCATCATCTCGCCAGGGATCTGAGGAGTTCTCCATCTTTCTCCAGCTGCCGTTCTCCAAGCATTCCCGATACGCCCTCCTTTCGCTGCCTGAAACAACGAGAGACAGCGATGAGGGGCAAACACCTTCGCTAAATTTCAACAAGCTCTTCAGCTGCTAATGGGTATAACAGTGTTTAAGATGTTGAAAAGAAAAAAAAAACAAAGGAGTTGGAAATACAGTGCCAGGCACTCTTTTCGGTGTTAACGCTTAAGCGTAATAAATTTTAGGTGTAGGAATCCCTGGATGTGAGCCAACCTTATGCAAACGCAAATTTGAATTTAATATTTCTTGCAGTTTCAAACATCCATTTGCACTGGCGACACTCGTTCCCCCAGAGGAGAAAACGTGGTGATAAACGGCGACACCTGTTCAAACCGACTCAATGGTGAAAGAAAGCATGGGAACTCAAACTTAACAGATTTATCCTCACAGATGTGATTAGACGTTAAACACGTTACCCTCTGTGATCCACGGTAAGAAGGGAGGACAGGGGACTGACACGTTCCCCGGAGATGAATGGGGCCAGCACACAAACATGTCGAAACTTCCTTTACAGTAGTTGCCTAAAAAAAGAAAGGGAACATTATGTTTAGGAATTTCGTTCGAGATGCATAAATCACCACCGTTTGCTCACCGTTTGCTGGAGAAGGAGCAGACGCCAGGGTGCTGTTGCAGTTTTCCCAGTACGCCGTGCGTTTAGAAATGAGGCTTTCGAGCAACGAGGCCGTCGCTTCCTGCAGAGTCACAGCCAAAGGAGAGAAACGTTGGGTTTCTCTATGTTTTATTGGAAAATAACGTCTTTTTAAGAGGAATTGAATCAAATAAATATGCTTTTATTTTCAATTTCCTAACGTAACAATAACGTGCACTCATGACAGGGGTTTTAATTATTCTTGCAAAAACCCCCTGAAAGCATCGACAGTAATGATGAAGGAGGAATATATTGATTGATCCGACGTTTTATATTCCCAACTCATCTAAAATAACAAATGTCTTCCTGACTAACATAAAACTAATCAGAATCCCGGTTTGGAAGTATGAAAATAAAAGGAGCCGATAATCATTTGCAGTGAATAAGGTGCCAGGTCAGCAGCTGACCTCTGTCAAAAGCAGATGGTCTGACTTTTTAACCAGCTAAAACCAGCTTGATTCACTCTCCGTGTGCTACAAACACTTGAATTGTACAGAGGTAAAATATAATCAATAATACATCCAATAGGTTAATGAAAACTCTAAACTTATCAAGTGCTTATTCAGCGTTTTTAGCTTTTAAATTAAAGTCAATAAATATTGATAAGTTACCAACTTTGCCCAAGCCATAATCAAAACTAATTTTAACACAAATGAAACAATTTTCTGGTCCTTCTCTGTCTTAAAAAAATATTCTGACACTAACATATGAAGAAATCCTCAATTTTAATCTTTTTTGTTGTTGTTTTGATGATTATATGCTACTATTATGACAAAATGTTACTTTTTCTCTGAGGCAAAAAAGAGAAAAAGTCATTTTCATGTGGCAACGTTGAGCCAATAAATATATTTATTATATTGTCTTGTGAGAAATCTTGATATTTGATTCCCAGAACTGATTCGGCCTCATTCCACACACACTTTGGGAATCAGAGGGGCAGACGGAACGAGCCAGGAATTGATGAGGATTATGAGCCGCAAGAATAATTGCCAGGAGAAAGGGAGACCGATGGGGAGGAGAACGACAAACAGGACGAGGATGATGACAGTCAGCATGAAGGAGAAGAGACGGGTGTCTCTGGTACAATGTACGACTGACGGGAAGAGAGAATTACACCTTTTTATTTACAAAGAGGTATGGAATGGAAAAAATTGATTCTTTAACGAATAAATTTCGTTAAAGAATGAAACACAATTAAGCCCCGTGTCACGTTATCGAACCCTTTAAGGTTAGTGTTACCTTACTGCAGCCAACATCTAATTTATCTTCATTTACTTGTGAATATCAAAGCAATATATAAAACGCGAAAGAACAAGACATTAATTCCAGCGGGTTGTGTAATATGTTATGTACAGGCAACAACCAAAAGGCAAACTCATTTAAAATCTTTATATATACTTTCATATTTATGATTACTTTACTGTAAAGTGTTGATGCCACTGAATATTTAGCAAGTGGTTATGAAATAAATGTTCAAATAAAAAAAAAATATATATATAAATATATATTTTTTCGTATTATTATAGTTTAATTTATTTTCTTATTAGATGTTTTTTCTTCACTGGCATCAGTAAAGGTTACATCCTGGTGAAAAAAATACTCAACACATAAAGCGGTGGGTCTTTACAGTAGATCTTTGTATCAAAACCTGGACATAAGTCTGTACACATGCATATTATATTACATACACATAAAAAGTTTTAAAAATCTGCAACCATCTTCAAATAAATAGGTGTTACCAATTCCCAACAGATGATCAAACACGTTTTTGTCTTTATGGGACATTTCTGTGTTCTGTTTTCCTGGCGTTGTCATTGTTTTGTGCCATATAAATTGATTCTGCAGTATCTTAATTGGTCCACTAGGTGGGAGTGTTTGATCAGGATGGATTTCAGTGGCAAAGGGAAAACTGAGACTCAGACCATTTACCAAATGATCTCACTTAAAGATGAACGGCAACATTTATTTGTGTAAATGAGATTCATTATAATTCTGCCTCGATGTGTTTTACCTGGTTTGGTTAAAAATCAAAGTTCCTCTCATATTATATGACCAGGCAGTCCTGAGTTTCTGACCAGTTACCTCTCTCTCTACAATCTGCTACCCATTTTTATTCTTTCAGTGTGATATCCCAAAAGGAAACCAAACTTACACATCAATGTATATGTATTCTATCAGAGTTAACGTGTTTTATTTGTCATTATCCGGTTTTAAACGCCTCGCTGGCACACTACCTGCTCGCTGACGACCATTAGAAGTAGAGGAAGCAGAAGTTTGATCCTCTTGTGCTGGGCTGCCAGCAGGTTTGGCATGGTGCTGGACGTTCACATGGAAAGCAGCTGATTCCTGCTCTCTTCGCCGATCCCACGCCTCATGCCTCCTCCGCCGACTCCTCAGGGCCCCTTGCTCATTCCAGCTTCCTCCTGGCACAGTGAGAGGTCAAGGTGTGGTTGAACTCGCTTGTTCCTTTGCGTAGAATCCTTTCAAGGACCGGCGGGGGTTTCGGTCGGAGGGCGATCATCGAAAACCATGTTGTGGAGCTCACTCAGCCGGGTTCCTAGCTTTAAGTATTAAAAATGTCTTCTGGATCCAGAAATCCATGGAGGGAGTGTTTGAAGGACATCTGAATGTGGCCGGCCGCGGAGCAGGAGGGTTGTTATCGGTGAGAAGACCTCATCTTTCCATGAGGAAGAGGCTGTGAAGACTGTACTCCCAATAGACTCGGCTCAGCTGGGAGCAGACGGAGCGCCTCTCCCACCCCGTCAGCCCCTAACCAATCAAGACAAGTTCCTGAGGGAGCTGCCTGTATAACTGGACTCGCTGCTGCCCAGGAAAACTGATCACGCAGAAGCAAATGATCACTCATAAAAAACCTATGATTAAAGGTTCACCATTCCAAGAACTACCAACTATTTAAAAAAAAACCATAACACAACCATGCAAGCACCAGTAAATAGCACTTGTACTCCGGAGAGACGGGGAATACACTGAGCCTTTCCTTCTGTTTAACTATCCCACTTAGTTAAGGGGGCATCAAACAGCATCTCTGACACTAATGGGGATCTTTGTTTAAACCAAGTGCACTGAAGCCAAACACAAGGGAGAAAATGGAGGAGCAGAGCACCAGAGGTGCCAGCACAGGGCCGGATGTCACACATTAAACTTCTTTTACAAGTAGAGGCCTTTAATAATTATGCAGGCGTACATGTAAGATCGTTTGTGAGGAATAAGGTGCACTAATTATTGTTTTGGCTGGTTTTTAGGTGTAAATGTTTGCATATTGATGTCTAAGCTGATCTTTTTGTTTCAATCGCAGCTGCACAACAAAATTTGACTCTTACATTTTGTGCCATTCAACAAAAAAATCTCAACTAAAATTTGTTTTTTTGTGTGTGACTGAGGACACTCTAGCCCCAATAATGAATCTCACGCCGTTAGTTTGAGATTGTTCTGTTTTTATGAAATAGAATTACTCAAGAACCAAAGACTCTGCTTTATGACTTTTGCTTCACTGTTGCCTCTCCAGTTCGGCCTGATACTTGCATTCCTCCATCACCACTACAACTTCTAACATGACGGAAATAGGATTTGATATATTCCTCTTTCTTATGAAATCTATATCCTTTTGTTCACGCTTAACGTAAGGCTTTTAGTCTGAAGCCAGTGGCTCTCTTTATAAGGTCTGTTGTCCATCTCAAACACGAGCCACAACTGCAGAGTCATACAGGCCTTTGACTTGCCCTATGAACCTGGTTTCTACAAAGTGAAAAGTGAAGGGTGAGCGTACCGTCCCCTTGGTGATCCTTTGGTCAAAAACGATCTTTTCATCTTCCAAAAAGTTTCATTTTCATCCTGACATTGTGGACCCCACCACCTATAAAACTGTAGGTTATGACGCTAGATCAAACGACGCTAAATGCAATATAATCTTGACTTCGTTCACTGATCCCGTCTCCCTTCTGGAACGCCGTTTTGTTGTCCAGGAATCTTCTGGTTATCCATGGTTTACTATTGGGGAAGTCTTCCACTATTCTGAAGGGGATGAAGAGTTTGTCCACAGAATTTTAAAAACAAAGAAACAAGATCTGTTTCTTTCCAAGAGTAAGTCTTGCCTCACAGAAGCAAAGAGCAGCCGAAAACTGTCAAAACTCAAATGCAAAGACTGAGGTGCTGTTAAATCCCCACAACTTGCCTCTCGCTCATTGGCATGTCAGGTCTGTACTTTGGCCACAACTCCTGTTGCTAACACAGCGCTTATCAACTCCTACTGTAGATAATATGAACACTTACAGTAAACAGCTCAATACATGGACTGTTAAGACCATGATTCTTAAATTACGCCATCTTTTGTTGACGAACACCTCTAATTGTCCTTACACCAGTCCTACTGTAAAACATGAAGGCGGATCAATAATTACTTCAGGCCGTGTGAGCGACACAGGCACACGGAACTTGGTCAAAATCGATGGTGAGATGGAAATAGAAAGTTATCAGAAAACACTGGAGGAAAATACGCTTTTGTCAAATTCGAAACACAAGGCCAAGTCCTCAAAAAAAGCATCGAGCTTTTCTGAACTCCGTATCACTGAGCCACTTTCATCTCAAACGTGCAGTTTATGCAAAACAGCCTGAGAAGTTACAGGAACTGGAGGCTTTTTGCCAAGAATGGGAGGATTTAGCGAAAAAAGATGAAGTGCCTCGTCCTCAACTATCGCAAGAAGAAGCTGTTGATGTCAAAGCGACAACACATAGTTCAACATCTTGGTTACGTAACCCTTCGATCGGCGTCGTGCGGGGAATTTCTTTTGTCGATAAGATTGGAAAAAAGAGAAAAAACGGTTGATATGAAACGACTTCCCACAACTACTTATCTATGAAACTGAAACTTCAATAATTCCTTTTCTCCTAAAATGTCAATATTTGCCAGGTTGTGTTAAACTTGTGAAAACCCTGCTGATGGCAGGGCCTTCATACATGGCATTGATCATGTGGAAAACAATCAGCAATAAGGGGAAGGTCATCAGGTCCTCAAACTCTTCCTGTCTGTGGCTCTAGCTCAGCTGAGTTCATGATGTCAGAGACAAACATGACAAATACTCATCACTGCAGGTTGAAAATGGAGAAGCAAGGCGACTCGAAAACAAAGGCGACGCGCCTGAGGCGTGCGAACCGAAGAAAGATACTTATCTGTGAAGGAATAAACCTCAGTGATGCATCATGTGGAACGGTAATTTAGCTCTTATTCCCCAGTGATAAAGCTTTTAAAAGTTTCTTGTGGAATGAATGTGACAGCATCCACTACCAGAAAAAAAATAAATGAATAAAAAAGATATGGTAATGTATATGGCAATTACTTGGGAGTAAAGCAGTGTTGAAATTACATTTCTTCAGCTCTGGAAGCTTGGCAATATAGTGCACTGATCGGGTCATATATCTTCACTGTGTGGCTGAGTAACAGAGGTGGAAAATGAGGTTCAGGCTGCAGAGAAAATGCTGTACATAGATCAAAAAACGCGCAAATCGGAACATTTTAGACAACGGCGAATCTGTGTCAGGTAGAGCCGTGGCGACAGTGTGAGGAAGAGGAGTCAAAGATCCTTTTTTGCACATTTCTGGGCTTCATAAATCCTGGGCTCAAAGATTAGTTCGACGAAGTTATGACAAACTAAACCGATAAGCAAATTTATGCGTCAACCTTTTACAGCCATTGACGCCAATGTGACTCGTAACGCAGTGAGAGATATGAACGTCCAGATGGTGACTTTATTTTAGTAAGTGACTGTGCGGATTTTCTTCACGTGTTTCACATGACAAAATTGTCTTTCTCATCTAAATTTTATGAATTACAATTCCAGTCTCTTCTGCAGTCAAGGCAAAATCAGCCCAAGGTAGAAGTGAACTAAGCTGCGGCCTGGGGACCCCAACCCATCAGGGGATTCCTTCAATTTCAACACAGATCACTGATTAGAAATTCTAATCTCTGTTTATTTACAACAGGAATACTATTCAGTTCAATTCAATGGTTTTGTCATGGATTAATTAAAAGTGGAAGCAATTTGGTGGTAGGCCAAGCAAAACCAATGCTGAGGTGCAGAGGTTGCCAACTTTCTGTAGAGTCACCAGACCTTGGCTGAGATTCATGTGATGGGTTTTTATGTCTAAGCAACTTCATTCAAACCTCGCCTCTCTAAGGATCAGTAACGCTAATCACTCCGTTAGCCATCAGTCCATTGTTCAGGAGTTGAGTTTAGTTCCTGTAGTTCCAGCTGAAAGGATCCCTCAATGCAAGACACTTTGGACAACTTCATGTTTTCATCTCTGTGGGAACAGTTTGGGAAAAGGCCACTTCCTGTTCCAACACGAGAGGGATATGAACACTTCTCTAAGTGCCAGCATAAAGGAAATATGTGGGGAAAAAATTAATAAATCAGCTGTGACCCAGTGTTTTGAGAGAAATACAGCCAGTTGGGACAAACCTGATGGGGCGGGGCATTCAGCAGACCAGGAGGTCTGGCCTCCTGGTCTGTTCTGACTCTCTCACCCAGGCACAGCCACAGAGAGGACGGTTCTCCTGGTGCATTTGTTCAGAGCAGTGTCTGGATAATCATGACTGATAGTGAAGTGCGTAAATGGAGCATCAGTTGGGGACGCAGACCAATTATGTCATATTATGGGTTGTATGTAATGCATAGGTGCCTATTTAGAGCAAGAAAAGAACTATATCATGCTAACTAGTGATACACAATTACCTTGTTGACATCAACTGTAATGTACTGGTCCTTGTTTGAGGATGTACCACATGTCCTTTGGGCTATAATTGCAGAGGACTGATTGGAAACTATATTTGGTGGTTGGACTTTAGCTTCTCTTAACACACAATCTAGGGATCTAAAGAAATTTCCTTAGTCTCTGAGATAATAAATTGCATGGCGAGTCTTTTGAAAATTGACATCGTTACCCCAATTTTCACCAACAGTAGCGCAACTGAATTCATCTAGAAGCATCTAAGAGGTAGCTAGCAAATTTCAATGAAGGCCTACAGATCTGAAAAGAAAGATTGTTGTGTGTTTACCTGCAGTGAAAGCTAACCAAGACGCTATGGTAAGTGTAATTGTGTTCCTGAAAGGTGAACCTCTACACTGGTCTCAAGTCTCCAGGAAGATTTCTGCCACAATTTCACAGCTTTTATGTCCATCTTCCCCAAAACCTTGAACAGCTTTCCAACACAATTTGGCAGTTTGTGTGTTTAGAAAAACAGCAGCATCAGAAGTTGTTCACACGCAAGTCTGATTTTGGTTGCAGTATTAAGCAGCATGAACGACCAAAAAATAAAAATAAAAAAATACAATCTGATTTAACGGAAAACAAATAAATAAATCAGAATTGATTTATGTTCTGCGATCTACATGCATGTCAGTATTTTGTCTTTCCTTCTATGCACCACTGTGGTGCAGCAGAATCTAAAGTCAAACAGAAGAAACATAAATCTATAATCAATGCTTCTGCACATCAGAGTCACTCAGTTTGTGGTTGCAAGAGGTGATTTACAATGCCGCGACCTTTTAAATCTCTAGGTATGGTGCCGGTCTGTTAGTTACCCAAGCTTCTGAACTCCGGCAACAAGTCTTCATGGGATAAAAAAGTTGCTGAAATTAAAAACCTTATTTCCAATTGTGTC